GGACTCCAGGATCATGACCTGAGCCGAAGGCAGTCGCTTAACCAACTGAGCCACCCAGGCACCCCCAGACGTCTCACCTTGAGAGCACCTCCCGCACCAGCACACACACAGCAACCGAGGAAGCAGCTGTCGTCATTGCTGGAGAAGAGCAGGGGGGGTGGGGGGGTGGGGGGGGTGTGCCGGGCTTCTCCCTGCTCTTTCAGAGGAGCTACTCAGAGAGGAGTGGGTCTCCTCACAATTTAAGAGTCTGATCATAACACATTCATGGAAATTAGATCCCGCTCATGGAGCCACAGGCTTATGGCCCCAAAGAAACAAGTCTGTGTCTAGGAAATACCATGCTTCCGGGTAACCTACAGCTTTGACTCTGCACCCTGGGCGTGGGAGGGGACGTCAGGGAGCAGCTGCTGTTCGCTGGGTGCGTCAGTGACGATGAGCTAGGTTTTGCTGCAGTAACACACCTAATCTTAGTGGCTTACCATGATGGCGGTTTCTTTCTTTCTCATGTTCCATGTCCTTTGTAGCATTTCAGGGGGCTCTGTTCCATGTCAAGCTGCTCAGAGACCCTGGCTGACGGAGGATCCGCCATCTGGACGTCACCAGCTGTTATGGCTGGGGAAGGACACACTAGGCGTTCACACCAGCAGTTACATGCCCCGCTCCAGAAGTGGCATGGGTCACATCCACCCACACCCCACTGGCCCTGGGTGATCCTACCATATGCCAGGAGAAGGAAAACCTGAAATCTCCCGAATATTTGGGTATGAGGTGGTTTCCCAATACACTCGGAAAACCACTCTGGCTTCTATCTGCCAGTGTCTCACACGCGAGATAGCAAACCGAGTGTCTCTGAGAATAATTGTCGAATTCCACACCCCAGTTTTAGACCTCCTGAAAGGTAGGGTGATGCCATGAACCAGGACTGGGTCAGGAGTGAAGGATCCAGGTTTGATTGTTGGCTTTGTTCCGATTCTGCTGTATGACCTTGGTCAGACTTCTCCTGTGAATGGAAACACTCAATTAGGTGACCTCTAGTACCCTGTCACCTCTGAAACATTTCCTCCTTCTGTCTAGCAACTTCTAACCCTGAAGCCTGACAGACCTGGGGTTACTTTGCAAGGTAAATATTATATCAATTTCATTGGCTGGCGAATCTAGTTTGAACCATTTAATATTTTATTTTAGGCTTCACAAATTATTTTAAAAGAAAGGGGATGGGCATAAAAGGACTGAAGCTTCTGTTGCAATTTCCCTGACATGGCTGGATCTAGGATTCCTGCTTGACCACTTCTTCGCTGGATGGCAGAGCAGGTGAGTGTGGGCTTTGGAGTCAGACCCACCAGGGCTCAAGTCCCAGACTGCCACTTGCTAGCAGTTTTCTCAGCCTCACCTCCCTTACCTGTAAAGTGGAGATAAGCATAGTGTTTCCTTGTGGGGTTGTTTTGAGGATCCAGTGAGATGAGGCATGCAGAGTTCTTAGCACAGAGCCTGGCACACGGTAAGTAATCAGTACGTGGTAACCAGTATCGCTTGTATCATTATGTCCTCTTTCGCAAGCAGTTATTCTGGTTTTCATATGTTTAAAGAAGATTTCATGAGAATAGTCCACAGGCTAGATGGATTATCCTTACCTCATCATACATATTGCCCAGTGGCATGAGCACATGCAGGTAGCTGGAGCAGGCTGCCAGGTGTCCTGACCGAGGGCTTTGGAGAGCAGAGCCGGCAAGCGCTGAGCTCATTACCGGCAGACACACTGTGCTGGGATGGGCCAGGGCCAAAGCCTCGAGGACCAGCCTCCTGGTCCCCTGCCACATAGCTCTCTGCTCCGTGCCCTGGGGAACCTCACAGTCCCTGCCCAATTTAAAGTTCAGACTCTGGAACTACACAAGTTTGCGGGTTTGGCAGCTGTGGGGCTCAGAGACCCCAGGATTCTTGTGCTTTCCTGGGAGGGCCTGGCTGCAGTGAGTTGGGTGCAGGAAAAACACTGGACAGAATCTGATCGGGTCTTGGTGCCACCCTGCCGCTTGGATCCGAGGATTGAAGTCTGGGGCCCCCTGTCCTAGGCATGGGTGTCTTGGTCTGTGAGAAGAGGTGTCTCCATTCTAGAATGTTGTGAGGATTGGGACTCATGAAAGTTCCGGAAAGCGCATTGCTGTAGAGTATGAGGCCGCGAGCACTCTTGAGGGACTTTAAGTCAAGGGTTCAGTTAGGTGCATGGGTCTCTACAGGTTTCCTTTCCCTTCCCTTCATAAAAACTAACAACCGACACAGTTGTAAAGACTACAACACAGCCTTAAATAAATCAGCAGCAGCGACAGAGTTTTCCCTTACACTATGATTTGTCCTTCTGAATCTTTATCAAGATCCCAGGTCAAAGTCAAACATTTGAAGACTGTTACCACTTGTTTTCTCCGTGCTCATGGAACAGTGCCTTCTTGCCACCTGTGGACACCTGGAACTCAACACCATCCCCCTGCATCTCTCATCTTCCCCATCTCTGTCTCAGTGGGCGGCAAATAAGCCAGAAACACAAGCTGCAACCCACAGGCCTCTCTCTCTGTCTTCCAGCTCTGCAGTTGTCTGTGTATCCCAAGTATTTCTCAGCTGCCTTCTCTCCGCTTGGTTGCCCAGTGGGTCAGGCTGCCCCTGACTTATTCCCATCCCCACCATGAGAGACTGGAATAGGGCAGCAGCTTCCTCACTTCCTGCCTCTCGGGCTGGAGGCCTTCTCATCAGTGCTCTATTCTGGAACCAGGTCATCTTGCATTTCTTAAAAATGCATCACCTTATTTTTTAAATTCAAAATTAGAACATGACTTCTAAGTTCAAAGTCATGTTCATATTATATAAATATTGGAAATATTGGAATTAGTTAAATAAGAAAACAATTGGCTCTAACTGATCAATCCTATTTAACCCCTCCACCCAGTGGAAACAACTCTTAATATTTTGTCCTGGTTTCCCAGGATTTTTTGCATATATACTAACTCATAAATCCATAACAAAAATACTTTAAAAAATAACATTGGGATCATAGTGAATGCAAAGTTGTGAATTCTGCTTTATTCTATTAATTACATTGTGAGCATTTCTCATTATCAAATATTCTTCAGAAAATAAGAATTTTTTGAAGGCTGCATCACATTCTATCATTGGACACCACCAGTATTTATTTGGACATTCTTCTATGATTGGATGTTAAGATTCTTACAACTTTTTGTTACTGCAAATAATGCTATGATTGATGTCCTCATACATATCCTTGTTCATAAATCTTTATGCTTCTAATGATCATATTAGACTAATTCTTAGAAGTAGATGGGTTAGGTCATAGAGTCTAGCAATTTTTTAAGTCTTTTGGATCATACTTCCAACTGACTTTTCAGGAAGTTTATATTAACTCATTGCCATCCCCACCAGCAGCATAGGGCATTACTTCATTACCAATAGAAATTAAAAAAATTCTTCACCAATTTCATGGGTGGAAAATGGTATCTAATCAGTGAGATATCTAAAAGTAAATGTGATTGTAAACCCCAGTGCCCCCATGATAACGTCCAAACTCCTGTCATGGCCTCAAAGCTGGACATCTTGGCAGGTGGGCTTCAGTGTGGCTTGGTCAGAGAGGGTAGAGCTTCAGGGGGCAGGCTGGGCTTCTCTCCTACCAACATGGGAAGCAGAAAGAGGGACTGGAGTGGAACTGAGGGCTCTAGCAAGGACTGGGCTTCCCTGTGGCAGGGGGCAGGAGAGCTGGACTGCTTCTTGGAGGCCAAGGCCCGTGTCCCCATCGTATAGATGGTGCCACTGAGGCAGGGTGGGGGCGGGCAGGGAAGGAGATACTCTGTGAATCTGTATCTGTTTCTACTGTGTGCTCACTGGGTTGTCAGAAAGGAAAGCTGGGAAGAGGCTGAGCATCAGGAAGGGGCAGCTCTGGCAGGATCCCTGTGATGAGGTAAGGAAGGGTAAAGCAAGTCTCCCCAAAGTGAGGTGAGGCCTGGATGCTGGGCTGGGAGGCATGGCAACAGTTGCTGTTCCTGCTCAAGACCGATGTTGGGAACACAGGCCCTGGGCTGCTCAGCGTGACCGGTACCCCTGTGGCTGGACCGCTCTGGGGATCATGGACTCTGGGCCTCGTCACTGCCTCTACTGTCACCTCCCAGGGCACCAGGTCATGCCTGTCATCTTTGAACTCTGTCTCCGCTCTGCTCAGATTCAGGAAGGATGCCAGGCTCTGCCACCATCACCCCTACACTCTTGTGTTCATGTATTTATTTACAAAACCTATGGGGGGGCCTACGGTTGGGCAGGGCTGGACCTTGGGACAGAGTAGATTCTGACCATCCCTGCTCTTACAGTAACACTGAAAATAAAACAGGAGGAGCTCAGGTGAGGAGGCTTCCTGGTGGAGGTGGCATTTGAGCTGGGCCTCAAGGGTCTCGCCATCCTGGAGTTGTGTGCTCGGTGTGGCTGCCTCGTGGGAAGAACCAGGAAGAGCACGGAGCTGGGCAGGGCTGGGCAACACTGGGGCTCACACCTGGCTGCTCAGGTGGGAGAATGTGGGGCAGAAGGTTGGGGGTTAGGACCAGCAGGGCCAGCTTGTGAAGGCCTAGAATGCCCCACGGAGGAGCTTACACTTTGTCCTGAGAGTAGGGGGAGACTTTTGGGGGTTTCAGTCAGGAGAGGATGTGATCACATTTGCCTTTCACAGAGGTCCCTCTGGATGCCCCAGGGAGGATAGAGTGGAAGGACCACTAGGAGTGCGGTCTTGAGGCCAGCCAGGAGCTGGTGTAAAGGTACAGGAAGTGATGTGGAGAGCTGGCCAGGGTGATGCCAGGGAAGGAGCCGAGGGTGCTTTGTGAGCAATTCTGGGGCAGCATCAATGGTACTCGGTGCTGCCTTTCTGGGATGAAGATTCTAGACTCAGCCCCGTGCCCCACCTGTCCTCACTGTAGGCCTATGAAGTCCTCACCTACTAATCTGAAGATCCCAGGCCTCCCTCACTGGGACGTCCAACTCCTACCCCACACTTTCCTGGCAGCCTCCTTCACCTCCTTGTTCCTCAAGCTGTAGATGACAGGGTTCAGCATGGGCGTGACCACAGCATAGAGGACCGTGAAGACCTCATCAGAGATGCGGGCCTCCTTGCTCTTGGGTTTCATGTACATGAATATGACGGTGCCATAGAAAAGCATCACCACGGCCAGGTGCGCCGAGCATGTGGAGAAGGCTTTGCGGCGTCCGGCAGCTGAGGGCACTCTCAGGATGGTGGCCAGGATAAGTGTGTAGGACAGGCAGACGAATGCCAGGGGTATAGGCAGCAGCAGGATGGCCCCAACCAGCAGGAAGACTTCACTGACAGAGGTGTCACTGCATGCCAGCTTCAGCACTGCCAGGATCTCACAGGTGAAGTGACTAACCACATGGTGGCCGCAGAAGGGCAGCCTCATGGCAATGACTGTCTCAGTCACTGACTTGAAGAGACAGAGGACCCAGGCGGTTCCCGCCAGCGACAAGCAGAGCCGGGCGCTCATGAGCACGGGGTACCTGAGGGGCTGGCAAATGGCCAGGTAGCGATCATAGGCCATGATGGCAAGAAGCAGACACTCTGTGGAGCCTGTGGAGAGGCTCAGACACATCTGGATTGCGCAGCCAGTAAAGGAGATAGTCTTCTGGGCTGACAGGAGGTGGACCAACATCAGAGGCACAAAGGTAGACGTGTAGCAGATGTCCAGGATGGAGAGGTTGCCCAGGAAGAAGTACATGGGCGTGTGCAGGCGGACATCCAGGACACTCACTGCCACGATGGCTGTGTTCCCCAGCAGGGTCACCAGGTACATGGTTGAGCACAGAGGGAAGAGCAGGTGCTCCAGGGCTGGGTAACCAGAAAATCCTTTCAGAAAGAACTCAGAGATCTCTGTCCTATTGACCAGCTCCATATTGCTGTGCTCAAGGGGCACATGGCTGTGATGGAAGGAAAGAGGGCGCAGGGTTGTGGGAGAGCCCACAGAGCCTCTTTTGGGTGGGGGTATGTTGCTAGGGCCTTTTCCAGTTCTTACACACACTCTGTCCTTGAGTTTCGGCAATCTGTGCACTTCTGGGCTGCAGTTCCTCCATGTGAAAAGTGAGCATTGATCTGGATCAGCATTTCCCTGAGAGAGCGTTAATGAAAATGTTAGTAGGCAATCTGAAAAATTAATCTGAGACAACACTAAATTAATTGAAAGTAAATAAAGCCCTTTAGCGCAGGACTTCTCATATGCCAATGTGATTTGTGACCTTCCACAAGTGGTATAGGGCATGTAATTCCCAAGCTTACTTGACCATGGGTCCTCTTTTTACATTAATCTACAGCACATAAGTATTCTTTTTTTTTTTTTTTTAAGATTTATTTGTTTATTTATTTGAGAGTGAGAGAGAGTATGTGCACAAGAGGGGAGGGGCAAAGGGAGAGAGAGAATCTCCAGCAGACTCCCTGCTGAGCATGGCTGAACACAGGGCTCAGCTCACGACCCTGAGATCATGACCTGAGCTGAAACCAAGAGTCACCCAGGCGCCCCTACATCAGATAAGCGTTCTAACATAGTTTGGGGGAAAATCAGAGGTCCTCAAATCTTAATGTGTAGCAGAATCACCTGGAAAGTTTGTTAAGACACAGATTGCTGGGCTCCATCCCCAGAGCTTCTGACTTGGTTTGTGTGGGTGATGTTGCTTCTGCTTGCCACCGCAGCACACTTGAGAATCCCTGGGCTAGATGGTTCCTGAGGGTTCTCCCGGCTTTCAGGAAGCCTCTGAGCTGCTTTATACTCTTCCCACTGTTGGGAATGCCCTTCTCCTTTATTTCTCAACCTGCAGACGTCTGGTTGTGTCTTCAGCTTGGCTCTGGTCTCCATGCATGAGGCATACATTGTGCCTCTCCTCGGAGGGGCTGCTGAACTCTGAGCTTCTCAGCAGGCTCATCCACCTGTCCCTCCACAGGGCCTGTTCATCAGCTACTGTGTGCAGACCGACCTTCAGAATCTGCCTTCATCATGGGCTTTGGAGCTGCAATTTGAAGGAGTAGCTGGCCTGGCCCCCAAACTCCTGTTTTCTCTGGGTGTGAGCCAGAGCTGCTTTGACCCTATGAACTTGTAGGGCATCAGCATGGAAAGCTCCCTGAGAGGCGAACCTGTTGGATCTCACTGAAGGTAGGAAACTGAGATCATGTCGTGGGTCCGTGGCAAGGTGCGTCTAGAATCCAGTCCTCCCGACTGTGTGACACCTACATCATGCTCACAGCAGATGCTTGCTTCTGTCAAGGGCCAAATGTTGGTGGTCCTTTTATCATACTGGGTGAACATCTTTCTCCCACATTCTCCCCCAATCTTCCCACCAGGTAATGAATGTAAGTCAACTTTTCCTTAGTGTTTTGGGCACCTGGCATTGATGTCAATAAACCCATGGGACACGCTGCGCACACCTGGGTCTGGAGGGAACCCCAATTCTTGTGAGCACCTCACTTGCATGAGATAGTTCCCTTTTATTCGTCCTGTGTTTATCCGTTCCAGAATGAAGAAGAGATTGAGTTCCTATGACACACCAGGCACTGTGCTAGGCCTTAGGGGAATGAATGAGGACATACGTGCTCCCAGACCACTAAATTCAAACTATTCCTAGGGAGAAATCCTCTCCAGTTTCCATGCCTAGCCTCATCCTGCTTCTGTCTGTGGGCCCTTAGTGATAAGAAGCCTATTTCTCCCATGGACATACCTTTCTTCTTCCCTTTTTTTTTTTTTCTCTTTCTGTCAAGCCATGCTAAGGGTCACAAAAATCCTTCCTGATATGGAGTCTTTGGGCATTACTGGGCCTACACCATCCAGCAGGGTGCAGGCTGAGTGGCCCCTGTGGACACTTCCCTCTCACACAGAACAAACACACGGTGCTGGGTGCTGGGCCCAGCACAGGGATGAAGGGCCCTTTCTGCAGCAGGGAGAGCTCTGCCCTAGCCTTGGGTACTCAGGTAGAAGGTCTTGCCTCTGCTTGGCTGTGTCTAGAGACATTGTGGGGTCAGGGGAGCATGATCTGCAAGCTCCCTCCAAGATGCCGCTGGGAAACCTGAGACTGGGCTCCTGGAGGGACACCTCTATTTAACTGAGTGTCAGTAGCAGTAGATGTTGTGCCAGGGGCGTGGGGGGCAGAGAGGTGGCATTGTGTGCAGCCCCAGTAGTCGGGTCTTGCATAGCTTCCTCTTTGCACGGTTACACATACTATAATCTCTCCCCTAAAGTCACTAGCAAACGTGGGCGGCCATTGGCTCTCTGTTGCAATATACACACAGCTACATCATGTCCCCACATATGGCTCCCAACTACAAGTGTATGCACAAACAACTGTTTGAGCCCCACGTACTCACAGATGTGCCTTTGTGAATACGTGCTGCACATCGGCTCATGTGTGTCCCTGTACGGTCGTTCATGTGAAGGTGTGCACTTGTGTGGCAGGCACTCTCACTTTCTTGTGCACTAGCTCTCTCTCTCTCTCACACATACACACACACACACTCACACACGCAGACACCAGTAGTGCAGACATTCGGACTTGTGGCCAGGGCTTCAGAGGACCAAGCAGGATGACTAGGATGAGTGGAGACCAAGCAGGGGCCCTGGAAGTGCCAGGGGAGAAGGAGCAACCCTTGGGGTGGGGAGCATACTGTGGGTTGAACCAGGAGGAGAAAGAAACATCAGAGCAGGGACATGGTTACGGAATCAGCTCAATGTCTTGTCTGCTTTCTAGCCTGAGTGCTGAGTTGCTGGGTTTCCCTGGTCTTCTGACTCTCCTTCAGCTGGGGGATGGGGGCCTATAGGAAGAGGGGCCAAGAAGGGATGTGGCTGGATGCTGGGGAACTCTGGTTCCTAGAGCAGGGCTAGGAAGCTTTGTCTGCAGAGCCCACAGTGTCCTTTCTGCCTTCGCCTCACTCCTGGACATAGGCTACTTAAAAACCAGTTCAGATGCCACCTCCCCCAGGAAGCCTTCTTTTATTTCTCCCAGGCCAGCTCGAACCCTCTCTCCTTTGTGCACCATGGCCCTGTGTTGGCATTTCCAAGGTGGTGCTCACCTCTCTCACTCACTCTTTGCCTCTTGCCTACCCTGCCAGCCCATAGGGATGCCACCTCCTTCCCCTCCTCACCCAGGTTCTGAAGGCCAAGTTGAAGTCCCCAGCCTGACCACAGCCAACTTCTTCCTGTCTTGCTGTGACTTCATGGGGCTAAGACAAATTGGGAGTGAGCAGCTGGGTGATAATCATGAACTGTTCCCAATCTGGAAGACAGCCTGGCAGAGCCCGGAGGGTCTTGCAGCTCATGGAGACCACCCTCTTTTTACATATGGAAACTGAGACCCAGAGAGGAGAAGGGGCTTGCCCAGCATCATCACATACTGAGTTGGGGGGGAAGCCAAGGCTCCAGTAATTCCTTGGGGCTCTTGACTCCCAGCCAAGGCCCCTTCCCCTGTGGGGAAGTCCACTTTTTTACTTACCTTGAGGCTCTTTCAGACCCATGTTTCCTGTTTCCCAGAAGATAATTCAGAGACCAGGAGCCTTCTTTAGCTGCAGCTCGGAGAACACAGTTGAAAGAAACGGGTGCACAGGGAACCCTGGTGGGCAGGACACAGGGTTTCTCACTGACCCAGCTTCCCAAACTAAGAACACATGCCTATATTTGTGCAGAATTCAGGGAAGTGTTTGCAACTTGATAGAATTAAGGGGAACTTTTAGGGCGCCTGGGTGGCTCAGTTGGTTGAGCGACTGCCTTCGGCTCAGGTCGTGATCCTGGAGTCCCGGGATCGAGTCCCGCATCGGGCTCCCTGCTCGGCGGGGAGTCTGCTTCTCCCTCTGACCCTCCCCCTCCTCATGTGCTTTCTCTCTCGCAAATAAATAAATAAAATCTTTAAAAAAAAAAAAAGATTTAAGTGGAACTTTTAGAACTGGGTGGAATTAGGCAAAGTACTCAGAATTCAGTGGAGGTTCTCTAAAGGGTGTCAGGTTTGGTGGAATTAGGAAATGCTGATGTGCTCAAGGCTGCACAGGGTCCTCAGTAGCTTACTGTGGGCAGCCAGGGTCTCCCTGACCTGGGCAGCTCCCAGCTCCATCGTGACTGACAGCCTCCCAGGGAGCAGGCAGGCTGAATGGAGTAGGCACCTTTCAAAGCTCCCTACGTGCCAAGGGACTGTGCAATCCCCAAGGCAATTTAGAGGGAGAAGGGGAAATGCGCCCAGCTTAGAAACTTTGGGGTGCTTCAGGGATGATGTCCCAAAGACCCAATTACACAGAGTCTAGTTGGAAATCTTAATTGGTGTGAAAAAGTTGGAGAAAGTGACTCAGGGTCAGGATCCACACTCATAGGTCAGCCCCCAGCCAGTGTGGCTTGTGCATGTGTACAGAATGAGTAAATGAGTGGATGGATGAATAATTGAATAAATGCATAAACACTTCTTGGTGAATAAATTTAAAAAAATTAATGAACGGGTGAGCACACAAATGGGAGGCAGAGGCGCTTTCCCGAAATTAGAGGTCCTGCCAACTTTCATAGGGATCTCAAGAAAATGCAAAATTTGGAAAGAGTATAACAGGGAGGGAACTGGGTGAAGAGAGACAGAATTAAAGAATATCAGAGCATGGGAGTCTGTATCTACCATCCTGGCACACCCTCATTGGATGGACAGGAAAACTGCTCTAGGGAGGTGGAGCGGCTGGCTCAGGGTCCTGGGTTTGCTCTTGTGACGCTGATGTGTCCGCTCTTGAATGCATCACCCTCGGTCGATGCCAAGCAGGTCTGCCCAGGTCAGGTAGTGACTGGGGGCCTCTCACTGCACCTGGCTCCTCCTCTCCACGCTCAGCACAAGTCCTGATGGTGGCTCCTTGAGGTTCCTTCCAGTTCTCAAAGTCCATGCTTCTGTGGGCTTG